CAATAATAACATGCAAGAATTCTGGCTAAAACTTCAATGTAAAAATTTCCTTTTGTTACTTCACATAGGCTTCAAGTTAGAGTTAAGAATTAACGACCACGGCTATCACTCCAAAAACAGTTTAAAAGCACTATTTGCAGTATTTACAGATGGTATATAACCTCTTTTACGTATTTATATTCTAGTTTTTCCATTCGAAATAACGTGTCTGGAAAATAAATGTTCCACATTATTATATGGGTAATATTACTCATCGGATACTCGCCGCCTAGTTTTACTGCTCATGTATGCAAAGCAGATTAGGTAAAAAAAAAAACGAAATAAGATAATATCAAATCGAATCATGTTGAAACTTGTAAGAGGCTGTACGCGTCATTCTCGAATAAAATCCGGATGAACTGATCACCGAGATTGTTTATTTTTATTTAGTGCGGTTTAGGTTTCATCTCTACACCCTTCTCATACCACGTTATCAGATCTACCATAGAGGCCGTCAGTCGTCCCACAAAATTTGTAGTTGTTCATTTTTTTTACATCTTATATTCCTCATTCAAATCGTTCCGTTGTTTATGGTCGACATTTTCATTTTTCGAATTGTCAACATTCCAGTTACGTCGGGGTCCCGTCTCCGAATGCCGCCGATGCCTCGTGAAATTAAAGGAAGCCTTTTAGTTTTTCACTTCGGCACCGATTTAAAAGTCCCGAATTCTCGAGTTGAAATTGTTTTTTTCGCGATGATTGTAATTGAGAGCAATAAATTGTTAGTGGCCAACTTATACCGTGTCGCGGCCGGATAAGTCGTTAGCGTTATAAAAAAAAATGTGGTTACGTCTGTTTTAATGTTTCCTAGCTGCGTTTTGTAAAATAATCGTCACGTATAAAAGTATACGTCTCGTTTAATGTTACGAGCTACTTTTCGACCGTTTTAATGTTTCCCGGTAATGTGGCTATGATAATTAATCCTAACAAAATGTCGCACTAAACGTTTTATTAATATTTGGGTTAAACCCGACTGTTTACTCTTCTACCGTGAGTTGTAGCAACTCGAGACCTATGTTTTCACCTCGATTTTAATGGTATTTATGATTGTCGTGTGAATCGTTCAAGAAAGATTGTAACTATATTGTATAATAAGCAATTCATAAGTAAGCCATTAAATGACCACAAGACATATATATTAACCATTAGGTTAACTGCTGAACACATAAAAAAATTAGTCGTAAAGATGTCAAGAGTTAATTTTATAAAGATAAAACTTTTGTAGATTATGAACACTAATTTCAACTATAATTACAAACAAACAGTTAACTAATGTAATAACTTCAGTTATGTTAAAAGCTCATAAACTTGTTACAATAAATCTCCGTGGAAAAAAAAGTTGTTTTAGTTGGACGGTCTCCAAAACTCTTAATATATTACGTGATATAAATGATTTAATACACGAATGAAATTTCAAAAAACGAATTTGTCTTTTCTTAAAAACGTATGTAAACAAAGGAGTCTTTATGGAATTATTGAGGACAGATCGCGAGGTCGTTTTAATGCTAGCTCATGTATATGAACGTGTTATTTACTATTAACCAACCATATTGAAAACACGAGAAACACTATTACAACCTCCTCTCTCAGTGTTCCCCGGTAACTAGAAGTGTAACAACTCCAGATAATCGACTGTATTCGGAATTCGAATAGACGGTGTCCAATTAATAGTTGACCCGAATATTTTGATACCAGATTTTACAGGAAGTAAGTAAATCAGTTCACACGATATTTTCAAACATTTATCTATACCACTTAAAACTATTTTTCAACTAACAAACCGATTAGTAACAGAATTAATAATCTAATTTATAATACAATATATATTTAATCAATGTAACATTTTTTTTTTTTATTCTGGTTCTCTTATGATTCATGGGTCAACGCACGGACCAATAAGAAACGCCAAAATAGAAGGAGATAAATTTAATTAAAAGCATTAATAATCAGAATTAAATGCGCTCGGAACACTTTAATAACAAAACACATTACTTACTTACGTTATCTACCAGACGTTAGATTTGCATAAGTATCTTTTTTTTTTTATTTGATGGTCTCATGTTAATGTGTGTGACACAAAGTCGATCCTTAATGTTTGAGTTGTAACAATCATTTTTCCGTAAGTAAGAAACCTCAAATTTTATATAAGTTGAATAAGAAATAAAAATGAGTCGTAAACTTGGTCGTTACCAACACTGGCGAAGTGTGAAATATGAAATCACGATTCCTCCTCGCGCTCAGGTGTTTGTGTACCAAATACTTTTCTCGTGTCGAAACACTACTGTGAAAACCTTTTTTTGTGTTATGCTTTTATAAAAATACTTTCGTTATATTTCACCGTAAGTATTGACCGATTGAATACGATGCGTACGCGACCTTGTTCCATTTTTCTTTTTTCAAATCATCACAAAGTGTAGCAATGAGTAATAGCACCATGCAGTTTTTAGTTGAGACATGTTTTTCGTTTGTCGTAATCTTAAATGGTTCTTTAAAAGAGATAACAAAAACAAACGGACCTCCCGGACCATCTGTTGCCATTTCTAAACAACAAAACAAAGGTGACCATAACACGTGTCCGAATGTTCAAACAAAAGTATTCAATACCATGATTATAGTCCCATTGTAGTAAGCCTTGTAAATCCCAAACACATGGTCGCTTACAAACAAGTCTCACAAAACACGAAACCTTTCCCACGGATCCTTACTTTGGGATCTTTAATTAATAACGAAATAACCTCGGTAATAGGCTACGATATGGAAGTAGCCTCTTTAGGCACCCTCATAAAACGATTATCAAATAATTCCCCAGCATTCTGGCATCACGATATCATTCTATTGGTTCGTTTAAGTCTTTAATACAATTTAACGCATCACATACAGGGAAAGAATAAACGCATCGCGATACGCCTCCTCCATCCCGTATTGTATTTTATCATCGTAAATAACTTGGTATTTTAAAAATAAGAAACAATAAAAGATTTAAATTTCGAACGGCAATTACTATAGCCGAAGTTAAAAATTTAAAATTGGAACGCGCTGCATCGATTGTGTTGTGATCGATTACAAAAATAAAAGTTAGACACGGCGAATACGTTTCCTTAATTACCGGCCAGTTCTAGTGAAGCAGGTCTATGCAACTAGACGTGTAAGTATACGGTATCGCCAACTCGACGCGTCTATAAAGGCTACCTGCACACGTACGCTTACGTCGACCGCTTTTTATGGGTTGCGTCGAGAGTCACTGTCGTGGGAACCGGCATATACTTACGACCGGCCACAGCTGACCGAAATGCGCTCTCCATACTCGATTAACAAATCAATACGCCGTATACTACGACTGGCCATATTTGATCGGTGCCGTTACACAAATCATAATAAAATATTTTGACAACCGTCCTTCGTTCCTTATTTACACCTTATAAGGTTTACGATAAATCGATGTTTCATTTACAAAGTCTGTTCGACGATACGGTACTGATGTAAGGTTCTGGTTCGCTCGATCGCTTCAGCCTGTTTAGTATTCAGAATCGACCGATAACACGTCCGCTTGTACCGTCGACTTATTTAACGATACCTTATTATAAATTCGTCAAAACTACCATTCCACATCGTATCTGTACCTTTAATGACAGTGCCGGGAAAAAGTGAGAGAAAAAAAGCATCTAGACTTTTTATCACGCACCGATATCGTACGTTGTGAAAACTATTTTCTCGTATTGACAATAAAATCATTGTTCGTAGGGAAGCGACTGGTATTCCCATGCAAATAAAGGCTTTATTGTTCGCGCATGCAAATTATGTTTTCATTCATCAAGCTCTTAATTGACAACCAGGGGACATCTGTCAGGGAAAACTGAATCACTTCTTAAGAGAGTAGACCGATCAAATTAATAGTGTGACCCTTCATATCCGCCGGCTTGGCAGCTGCGACGTCCAGCTACCCGTGACGTGCACAGTGTAATTACAAGCACTCAAAAGCAGTTTTAACTCGAATAATTTCACTAAATGAGCGCTCACTCGGTTGCAATTGTTTCTCCTTTTGTTTCTTAAACTTTAAAAGAGTAGGCAATTAAATTCCGATTACAGATCTAAAGGTCGTGAATCGAGCTCGTTCCCGACGGATCGCAACGTCCGCCGTGGGATCAGTTTTATGGCAGAGGCGACCGGTTCCCGAGTCCGCGAGCGGTTTTCATAATACGTTTATCTGTACAATGGCTAAATGACCATTTTCGCGTTGCGTATGAGCAATAAAAGCATCGATAGCAGGCGCCTAGAAGGTGTTGACTGTCGCCTTATCACCCCCCATAATCGATTTTCGACTGCCGTTTCGCCTCCTTATGTAAACAGACAAATGTCAATATCTTACTATCTGATATGTACCTACTCGTTCCTGTTTTTTATAAAGGCACGAAACCATTACATGCACCCATATTGGGCGCTTAAGTGCTCGCGTCTTGGTCTCACTTGTGTATTTTTAGCTTGATATTGAAACAATTCCACTGCCATCTGCTGTCTACTTCACCTGTCTATCATGTTGTTAATTTACGCCCGTCCTGCATACCGAGTGACTACAACTATGTCATAAACTAAAAGGAAACATTTGAAATGTCCAACAACTGCCTGTTCTCATAAAACGAAAATTTTTGTGATCTCATTAAAATTTATTTCTTCAAACAAATTGAAACTCTTTGTGTTTCGGTTTGCATATTCAACGCATTCTAAATTCAAATTGAAATAATTCTTGCCATAAACAACAAAACCGAGTCGGCACAGGAGCGACAAAGTGACAATAGCCGATAGATCATTAATTCTACTTTCGTTATCGCAAGAACTCAAACTTTTTCTTATTAGGTTAAGCCGCTATCACATTTTTACTTTGAGTATTTATATTTGTTCTTTGATAAGATTCGCATTTATATCTTGCCCGTGAAACGAGTTTAACTTGATCTTTTTTTTTTCAGGGCACATTCTCGCTCATAGTCGAAGCGCGGCACGACACCAATGAAACGTCAAGATCTGATGGTGAGTGTTCTTCTAATACGATTATGATAAAAAGGGCCATGAAAATCGTAGCGGTTTGTAAAATTCATATCACGTCGCTCACGACTCACTCGCATTCAGGTTTCACTGTAATTCTGGGTGTTTATCGTGCATTTAACGGACAGTATGTATATTTGAATGCTCATATTATCATATCGTGGAAGACAAAAATGTTCCCATGGTGTGGACGTTTGGCGTTCAGAGCACGGCGCGACGCGCGTGATTCGCTTCGCAATGCGCACAGTATTCTAATAAACTCAGCCTTCTGTAGGACGAAAATTTAGTAGAAATGTTCTAATGTATTCGTTGGCCAATGACCGATGCCTAGACGACATAGTATGAACTCAACAGTCGAAAAAACTGGCCAAATACTTTTTTTGTATGTCAAGTTTCGTTCTCACACGCAACTCGAAATAACGTTTATAAAATTATAGATGCCATGTGTACGACTAATTTCGAGATTGTTATCATTGAAAGAATCGATTGGTTAAGTTCGGTTCTCGTTTCATTTCGACGATATCGCGCGTAGTCTAAACGCCCAATAACGAATCGACAACCGTTTACCGTGTGCATGCGACATGGCGTGACCGAAAAAACGATTCCGAATGAACTGTACCAGACCCGGCCGTAAATACATCATCATGATAATTCATTTTATGAAATGTACATTGTACGTAGTTGCGTACACGAAATAACAAACCAATTCGAAATTCCAAATTCTATTTTCAAAAATACATTATTATAAAATGGCGGACGCAAACAGTGACCGGCGACGCCCATTTCTTAATTAGATTCTCATCCCGCTGCACTCTGACCGACATAATTACTACTCCTGACCGAATAACAAAAAAGGCCCTGGTGATTTACTTGAAACAGATTTAGAGATACGACGAGGTGTGTCTACGCGGGCCGGTTTACCGAAAATCATTAGCGTCCGAAGTGGATAGCTTAGAGGGCGGGTATATTTTTAATACGAGCGGGAGCGACTACCGAGAAACGTTACCAACAGAAATCTAATCAACCTTAATAACAGGTTACACGGACGCCCGTTTGTGTTCACTCAGCATCTACTCATTGGGCTAATGCTTAATTAAATCACATTCAATATTTTTTTTTATCTAATATCGAAACAGCTGCATTGCGTCGCTAACGCATTGCATAAATCGATCGATCAAATCTAAGCAACCCTAAAGTCGTTAAATGTAATATTCACCCAAGATTTCTTAAGGAATGAACACGAGTAAATCATCCCATTTATCATAAAGATAAACATGGCCATAGAATAGACTATCGGTAGAGACGAATAAAGACATTCTCGTGCTAAACAACACACAATAGTAGCGGGCGATCCCGATGTTGTCGCCCGTTCCTTCACCGAAATCTTTTGTGTAGAGCCCGAGGCGGGCGAGGCCGCACCTGGTCCGCGCTAACGGCCCGATATTGTTTACCCGATACTAAAAAACATAGCTCCGAGGGAAGTAACTTTAGTTTACACTTCATCTTTCGTCGTCGTCGTAGGGCTTGAACTGGATAAAAAGTGTGGAAGACGTCCCGGAAAGCTCAATTTATGAATACGTGGCGCTCCCAGGAAGCGTCGCCGACAGATGGGATGCACATGTCTTAATAAAAGGTGGGCACACTTCCACTGTCCTGCGCCACTCCGGCCGCTTGGCTGCTGCGTAGCAAAGTCAAATTTTAAAGGAGCGTGTGAAAAGCATCGGTGAGATTGGTGGGTATCGGCGCGTGGGCCAGTGTGCGCCCCGGGCCCTGCTACCGCTCGCCGGCTGACATTACACGACCGAGATGCGATTATCGATACAGTTATGTTGTGACGGCAGCTTATCTCGTTATCCGGCCGTGCATTATTAGTCAATTCATTATAGCTCTAGCCGTTCCTATCTCCGTTCCCAGAGCTCTCTCGCGTCTCTTTATGATTACTTACGTTATTAATTGGCTTTCTCAAAGGTTAAACGCACCACGTCAGCGGTCTGGAAATGTAACGACTACGTTGCACAATCCTCCGCATTCATCGGATTCTCTGCCCGGAACGAAAATGCCAGTTTTCTTACAAAACAATAGTGAATTTAAAGAGGCGTGACCTCGCACCGCATTATGCGAAATCATTTTGGTATAAACTCACAATCATTTGTCAGTTCTTAAATTAAACCTCTCGAACTATCTAAGCACTCGAGTTACGAGTGGATGGGTTATTTATCTAGTCCGAGAGCCATCGAAGACTCAGATTGTCTCGTCGAACGTTAGAAGTGGACAGTTTTATAAACAAAAGTTATAAGTGTGAGTGTGCAGTCCATTGATTATTTGACCGTTTCCCACAACGCCGCCGGCGGCGACCGGCGACCGGCCGAGCAGGTGTCCGAATCGAGAAGTGGGAAATTGAGACAAACGTTAATGATGCGGGCCTCAGCTGCGAAGTCGTCGAACCTTCGCGCAGAACTACGCGTCACCGATTTCGATTTCGTTCAACGCCCACCGTCTACTAATTAGAGCATCGTCGACGATCCAGTTTGGCCGATAGCTAGACGATGTCAATCCGCGGCATAATGAATGAGAGCCTGTCATCCGGTGGCCCTATTATCGATCGATCGATCATAGCGGCGGAAGCTGCATCGCGTGATCCCATCCCCCACGTTTCCCCAAAATCGCGTTTCGAACATCCCAAATCGACCGCGTCCGCCTCCGTTAGCGGCGGTTCAAATTATTGGTTATTTCGCTTTCTTTTGTTTTTGTTTATCGTCGTTTGAGTGTTTTATTTTAATTTTATTTGTTGACCTCTGCGCCCGTAATAACATGTTTCCTCGGCGGCGCAGCACGTACGCGAACTAACAGCCTCGTCCTTCTTTAAATGTGTTATTTATTTGTGAATTGGAATTACATTAATAGACGCGATAGTCGGGTATACCTTCATTTAATATCGTTACGGCCCGGAATTAGGATGATGAGTGTAATTTGTGATGTTATTTCGTGGTACTGAGCGCAGTTCGAACTCTATTGGAACAGGACAGAAAACTGTATCGGAATTGTTCCCAACTATTATCTTGTGTTGTCAATCAGAATGTTGGAAATGTTTCAAACAATACAAGGACGTTAATGCTTATGGATTAATATTCTCATCAGCTGAACATTTTCGAGATTCAATTGAATTAAACTGTACATATGATTAATGAGATTCTTAATGTTATGGCTCGCAGCCCTATGTAGTCGGCATCCGTGCAGGTTGCCATAATTCCCGGTGCACATTCGTGGCAAATTGCACGCCGCTCTCGGTTCCCACACATCATTTTTCTAATTCCCTCTGAACTATACACTTGACTTTAATAACCTTCCTTTCAATACCCTCGAATAATTTCAACGTACGCTCACTAACAAATGCATAAATTGAACATAATCAAAAACTTTTCTTACCACACGTATTTTCTCGTTCCCACTCCACATAATATGAAATCGTTGCAGGTTTTAAAATTTTTCGAGACGTATGTTAGTGTCATCGATTTTCCGCAACAAGCAATCTTAATTGGTGTTTTACAATCATTAATCTGTCAGCAATTTATCTCTGTATATGTCAATTTGTTATTTGCATCCATATAAATAGTTGACTCACATACTACATTTTACTTTTGGGTTCACCGGCGCGGCGTGATCGGAAACTGGGGACGGTTTTTGTAATAGACGTCAATAGAATTCATTATAGACAGCCAAGAGTATCTTTTTAAAATGTATTAAAGCGATAACATCTCATGATACGTCCTTCGTCAGTCCCGTCGGCTACACGACGCAACGACGTCCATGTACGGTCGGAATTATTACCACACCAATAACTCGCGATTATCTATCTGTAATACAAAAAGAGGCTCATTGTCGTGTTAGGTATACAAAAGACGAAGCAAAGGAATCAAATGGAGATAATGCCAAGTCGGTCTCATTACCACGCACCCTATCGGCGAACACCTCATAAAAGAAAACAAATGACAATCGAATCGAATACCATACGCCACGAAATTAGTAGGGATCGATCGTTTTTATATACCTTTTAATTTTGTTTCGCGTCTGGTTTAATTTTATCTGCTGTCGGGATTACCGGCTTAGGAATGTACCATCGGGGCAATAAGAGTAAAAAGCTGGCATACACGACGAGAAATAAATAAAGGTAGGAACTGGTCGGGCTGAGATTTCTCAGCGTGCCTTCGACTCGCCACTTACATCGCTTTGATGAATGGAGTGGCAGTTCTTTTTTTAATCAGCGCGGGTAGTTTTCACAGACTAGTTTTTGCGCCAGTTATGTCATGGAATCCTTAGTGCCTAGACCTTACCTTGCGCAGATCTCGTTTTTTTTTCTATCTTGTACTTCCTGCACTAGTCTAGTTTACAAACGGTTAAGTTGCATGAAGAATGTAGTTAAAACTATTAATCAATCACACAACGGGCGCCTCGGTCGAATCAAAACAGTGAATCACGCTTGGGAACAATGAGATCTCACGGTCGAATGCGGGCGTCAAACGGTCGACATTAACAGGTCAATTTACTTCTGTAACCCTTTCCCACGATGATAAACAAATATTTGATTTTCTTCAGATTATAATCAGATTAATTGCGCCATTATCCTTTAAATTCCTAACGAGTTCTGACCCTTTCTGTTGCTGATAACATCCGAGATGTTACTATAGCAAAATGCATTGGCGGAATAATTTAAATGAAATTGTGCTGTCTTTGATATTAAAAGTATGTTCGCGGTTCGCATGTTTAAAGACTGGAAGTCTAAAGAGTTTTTGTTTGCATGCTCTAAAATTAAAACTTTGTCGTTTAGAAATTCTTTATCACTAACAGATTCAAAATTGGAATTTTTCATTCATAAAAGAACTTTTCAAAAAAGGTGCATTATATCTAACCCCTACCCTAACCTAAACAGAACAGATTTGGATTCTGCTTTATTGTTGGTTGGGAAAGTTCTCAAAAATTTTTTTTCACCTTTGCTAAATTAGGTCGGGTCGGGTCGGGTCAGTTTATTCATATATATGGCATCGAACTCTTTTGGTTTAAATGTAAGCCTAATGCATCATCATAACCTTATTGCCTTAGGTACAGGCTGCCAACCTGTCGCCTTAAATTGCAATTTAAAACCCAGTTCTTCGATTTCTGCAGATTGATAAGCGACTCAGACCCATATCTTTTACGCATACGTATTCACAAAACATGAATTTAACTAAAATCTGTTCTGATCATTCCAGATAATCTAATTGCGCGGATGACAAAGCAGAGCATAGCTGACGTCGAGGGTCCTTGGGTTGACGAAGAACAGCGATGGGGTGGATCCGGGGAAGCTCACTTGAGGCTATCGTACCGAGTAACCTGCGCGGCACACTACTACGGCGCCGGCTGCGAAGTCTTCTGCAGGCCAAGGGATGACGCCTTCGGTCATTACACCTGCTCCCCTGCTGGCGAGATCGTATGCAAACCCGGTTGGACGGGAGATTACTGCTCAAAACGTAAGTATTAAACTTTCCCCGTCACTGAAACTTGTGGTAATCAAACACGCAAAAACTTAGCTTAGGACTTGGTAGAATAATAATATTGGCTACGTTTTTGGTACCAGCTCTAGTATTCGTTTATTACCATTTTATTTTGAATGCCAACAATTTTATAAGTGTTGAAAAAAGATAATTGAATTATCCAAACTAATATTTAAGTTTGCTTTAAAGTATATGAGAGTTTTTCTGTCAACACTTCAAAAACTCTTCAAAGCTTAATCAAAACCTAAGTATGTCCGCGGCGTTGCATCAATATTTTTACAGTTAAGAAGCCCTGACCTTTATACGTGAAAGTAGTTCCGTGCCACTCTTTACTATTTTCAATTTAACATTCGGCTAATCGAGGGATATTCAAACTTTTTAACCTGTTATTCTTATTTTAAATAGTTTGTCATTAGTTGATTAGAAACTCTTTATTTTTACTATAGAGAATTTTAACCTTGACGCCAGTGCATATTTACAGCTAGGCTAGTTATTTAAAAATGTTCTAAATTCATTCGTGAGGCCCCCAATTCATTCTTCCTCATTAACGGACACTATGACAATTTTTAGCGGGCATCCTCTAATAAAAATAATTGAAACGGAACTCGTGCTTGGGAACACAACTTTTTAGGCAAGTTCATTAATTAAACTACTATTTTTATATTCTCAAAATGTTTGTTTTTTTTTGTCAGGTAAGATTTCCGTTCCAATGTAGATATATTTCAGATACTGTACCGATATAATATGTATATTCAGAAAAAAAGGTCAATGAGTCTATCAAACAATGCAATTCGTTTCTTACTGTACATCCTCTCTTTGTCTTTTAACCATATTCAGCGTTATATATTTTCTAGTAATTCGAAACTTAATACTCATCGAAGGTTGTTTTTTTAGTTATTCTATCATATTTTGCAAATTTCTACTTCATATATGTTTATTGACCTCCATTAAAATTTTAATTAAGAAAGTTTGGGCGTGACTTGTAAATTGTACTTTTAATTAGTAACATTTTAATACAAGGCATTTTATATCTACTTCCTGTGAGCATCGGCCTCCGGATGTCTTATAATAATATATTATTTTTATAAACGTCATGTTTTAAACTCCAAATTTCTCAGACTCCATGTAGACTTCCTTATTTTCTATTAAAAGATTCCACATTTGTCATACACACCATTACTAACAGCCTAAACACATAACAGTATAATAAATTAGAAAAAGAAACCAAGCAGCTTTTTAAAATATCAATAGGTTTGTTCAGAAATGACAAAATTCTTTGTCTTGTCCGTCAGTCAGTCAGTCTGTCACACGGAGCGTGCGACCGCCGGCCGTGTAGGCTTGTTTGCATTTCTACATGAATGCGTTCCAATTGTAAACAAACAATAGTCGCCGGCGCATCACTCGACTTAGATTTTCAATTTAAACAGCTAAGAAACATCTAGCGATAATATTCCATAAAAATAGTCTATATACCATTCTAACTACGTTCGCATTTTGATTTCTGATATATGTTAAACACATCGCGTCTCGTATTGTAAAACAAAGCGGTACGTCTCAAGATGCATTGTGGCTGGGCGGATGTCGCCTCGCAATCTCAGCAGCCCCACCTGCCGCCGCGTTCCCACACTCCGGCGCCGCAAAAAACAAGCGTCAGACAGAGAGCGGAGAGCCGCACCGCATAGCGCGCCGTCCCACTCCCGCGCCAGGGCTGCGGCCTCCTTGCCTACTGCCTCCGCCGCGAGCGCAGGATCACCGCGAAACCATTTTTCTCTGGAAAAAGTAAACAAATGACAACCGCTGTTTCGATCAAAAACTGCGAGAAAACCGGCCAATTCCAATAAAACATTATCATCGATATAAGCCGTATAATTAATCAATAAATGGCAGACATTACATGTATGACTAGCTAATAAAATACTCGGCAACCCTATCAGTTGAGTTTGTATCGGCGATTACGAAAATGTAAAAGCGAGAGAAGCGGCCATAATGAAATGAAAACAACGCTGTACGCTCGCGCGCGCACACACGCACACCACGAGCGCAACACACGGCCGCGAACCGGGTCAAAAACACCTTTAAACGAGAACTGAACACCAATCGAAATAAACTCTGTACTTGACCGTGTCACGAAACTTGCCTCACATCTGCCGAACGGTATATCGCCTTCTGGGAAAGCTTAATAATCCAGAAAAAAAACGTCTTATTTGCATGCTCCACCAGTATTATCCGCGTCCAGGTTGCCTAATGACAGGTTAAACAACGCGAGAAGGAACCCTTCACGGGCGGCGTTTTAATTTCGCCTAAATTGTACGAGTTGAAGTTCTCACGAATATTACCTCATGTTTAGTCGCGAATCCCACGCACTCTAGTAAAGCTAAAGTTAAATAGACTAATAGACAGTTAAATATTTGATGGAGAACATGGAATTCATCCTCGGGGAAGGTCGCTTTTTGCTGGCTCACCTGGCCTCGAGAAAGGTCGAGATTCACAGACAGACCTTGGTCGCAGTGCGGCACACGCTAACCTTTCATTAGAAATCGATACTGTACATGCTCATCGATAATTAATAACAATGCTGGACGTTTAAAACATCCTCCCGTTTGTTTTATTCGATCCACTTACGGCCTAATGGTTCGAGTGTAATTTTTACGACTCTCCTTTTACTTACCTTTCAAGGGTCAAGATAATCTCGAGTGCCGGTGTAGAGTGCACGAAACAGTAGGCCTGACACTTGAACCTCTTTGATCTCTTAGTTGAAACCGCTAAGATACACCTATTCTTCGAACTTTATGATTATCATAAAATTTTATTGTGTAATCGATTTCGAGAAGACTTAAATCGTGTAATGGCCTCCGCGAAAGTGAATTTCCCGTAAAACGCATTGTTATTTCTTTAAACTGCCTTAAAAGCGTACTGTATGACAAACTTCGATGTTGGTTTTACAGTTATATAGATTGAGTAAGCAATTAAAAGCTAATTAATATAATATTATGTCTGTGACAGCATAAATAAGTAAAATTTAATATAATGTACTAAAATTCTACATGTATGGCATTTACAAGTCTAATCATCATTCGAAAATTAAATTAAAACTTTATCCAGCTTTTAAGCCGATTTCCGACTCGGGAGGAAGATCGGAGAGCTTTTGTGCTCAGTCGACTAGATTTAAACCTATATTGCTATTGCTAGGGAACGCGCTGGAAGGCTAATCCGTTTTATTTAGCAGCCACCGCCGCCTGCGCTGAGCTCGTAGATAATCCGCGATACAGCGGGGAGCTTCTCTAAATTGCTTCCTTATTCAATTTCGCGCGCGAATAATCCTTATATTTGCATTGGGAAGGAATGGAGCTTGCATTCAAGATGGCGTCTAGTATTTTTCTAGTGAGTTAGGGGAATAGTAACGGTCGAGTGACGGTTAGGCTCCCCGCACTATCTGCCCCCTCTGTATTCGCTCCGATAACTTGCCCATGCGCACCCGACCGATACGACTTCGCGTTACGACTTCTTATTTCGAAACACTTTCCAATGTTTGCAATACACTACTGCCAGTTCTTTTGTAGCAGGTAACGCACTGCCTTATTTTAGCGCAATGAAACCTGTCCGATTACCGCATACCGCCCTTTTTCTTCGCTTAGTAACATCGAACAGGGTAAAGTTCGCCGTGTCCTATACAATCGCAAGTTAACGATGCTCACATTTACATCTCAAATGAATCACCCATCGGTGTTTAAATCTCTTTTCTGCATTTCTAACTATTGAAACAAATTTATAACTAGGAAATGGTTGTTACATAATAATTTTACAATTAATATAAATAAAGTTTATTTATGTAAATATAGGATTGCGTAGATGTGGGATATTGTAGGACTGGAAATAAATCGTCGGAGCTCGCGACCTCGCCCCGGGCCTGGGACGCTAACGAACCTCTCTCTTTGTTACACTCGTCGTGTCCTTTGCAACTAAACCGCACGGATATTCCGACTTTAATGGAACTGCTTTTGCGGACGGTATTCGTTCTCACGATTAATTGTCCGTATGCCTAGGTATAACATTACAGAAATCCATGTACTTAGCATCCTTGACTCCCGCCGTGAGAGTGTTTTGTCTTTGTGACGCACTAACGAAGGCATTTCTTTTGTTGCAGCGAGGTGTCTGCCCGGCTGCGACGCGGAGCACGGCCACTGTCTCAAACCCGACGAATGCATGTGAGTATCCACTTCACACTTTTGTGCTAAACGCATAACGCTACCTCCCGAGTCTAAATCATTCATGCTTTACATTGTTCCGAGCGAGGAGAAAAGCGAACCTATTAGGCTCTTGTTATCATGTATTCTTTTCTTACGTATGTTTTTCTTCGTTTCTAGTTGTCATTCGGGCTGGGTGGGCGAGCTCTGCGACCAATGTCAACGACATCCGGGATGCTTCCATGGCACCTGTTCGAAACCTTGGGACTGTAACTGTGAAGAAGGCTGGGGCGGGCTCTTTTGTAATCAAGATCTGAATTACTGCACCAACCACCGGCCCTGTAATAATGGCGGAACATGCCATAACACCGGGCAAGGTAGCTACACCTGTGTCTGCCCGCCAGAATACACCGGTCTCAACTGCGAAAAGTCTCTACATTCTTGCGCCGTGCGACCGTGTCTTAACGGAGGTGCTTGCGTGCAAGAAGGTAAAGAGCTCGTCTGCGCTTGCCCTTCTGGATACGAAGGAGCTCAATGCGAAACAAGGATACTCACTTGCGCCGATCAACCTTGCCGCAACGGAGGCACTTGCGAAACTCGATCATCAGGATACGTTTGCTCTTGTCCGGCTGGTTTCGCCGGACCCGATTGCGCTTTAGAAGCCGACCCATGCGCTGGCAATCCTTGTAGAAATGGAGCGACGTGTTCCCGGGCCGGCGACAGCTACAGATGCTCCTGCAAACCTGGATTTAAAGGCAACCGATGCGAAGTTGATATAGATGATTGTGCCGGGATCGTATGCGAACATGGAGGAACTTGCGTGGACCTAGTGAACGACAGACGATGCCAATGCGCACCCGGCTTCGTGGGAGCTCGCTGCGAGACTCGCGTAGACCTATGTTTGGCGAAGCCGTGCGCAAACGGCGGTAAATGTTTAGTCCTCGACAACGACTACGAATGTAGATGCCTGCCCGGTTTTGCCGGGAAGGACTGCAGTATCGATATAGACGAATGCGCGTCATCTCCGTGTCAAAACGGGGGGACGTGTCGCGACAGAGTCAACGGTTACCACTGCGATTGCTCAACCGGCTGGGGTGGGAAAGCGTGCACCGTGTTGCTAGCGGACTTCGTGTCAAAGTTGGCGGGTGATCATTTGCGGAGAGTGGGGGACGATATGGAGGAGGAGAGTTTGTCGGGACGGCACGTGGCGTTGATCGCGGCGCTGTCGGCGGCAGTGCCGGCTGTAGCGCTGGCGGCGGCCGTGGGGGTGGCTTGTGTGAGGAGACGGCGGAAACGTGCTCAGAGTGCCGCGGATGCTGAAGCGCGCGCTCAGAATGCCGCCAACGCGGGCGGCGGCGGGCGCGTCATCCGCAACACGTGGGGCAAGTGCGAGGGACCAGTGCCCGAGTGTCAGAACGCGCACAATGCCGCCGCTGAGGAGTGCAAGCGGAAGACGCTCAACACAGAGAGCGCGGCGAGGCTATTAGCCGCGCTAGATCCTAGACTATCGAGGCTCTCAGCAGACTCGGCGTACTGCGCTAATAGGTCAGTATCTGAACATTTCCAATAGACATTTACAAAGTAGAATCTATTGAGTTAGATTTAAAAAAATATTGAGATACATAAAACATTCTGGAATGTATAGTTTAACTTTTTAACTTCTCGATAACAAATGTATTTTTATTGATTAGTAGCATTATCGACGATGCCGTCGAACTCTTTGTACGATCCTATTAACCTATTTCTCTTTTCTTTACAGCGATACGTCGTTAGTGAAACGAGCGCTCGAAGGCGGAGGGGTGTACGTATTAGACGACCATTGCTTGCCGCCGACATTCGCCACGCAAGTGTAGTGGTGTACGTATACGTGATGGACAATAAATAACTTATTTATTCACAACGGACGCTCGTGCGAACCAGGCTGTGCGCCGCGTGTAAATATAGAGATTAATAAAAGTGTAAAATGACACCCTGTATAAACGGCTAGAATTAAGCATTCGGTGTATTTATTAGCGATTCGTACGCCCCTGTAAATAGTAATGGCGGGACGAATCGCGTTTTTCCGCCCCTTATCGGCGAGCGTCACCGTCGACATGATATGTGATGAAGTTGTGTCTATATCTTTTGACACATCGGCTCTGTAACGAGCGGTGTTATTTTAAACTGCAAGTGTCTACCGATGTGTGAAGATGTACGCGAGTGTCAATAGTTGAAGGTGAAGACCGCGCGAGCTGTGGGGCCGAGTGGACCATGTCCACTGTCTGCGATCTCTGTAGGTAACGGTGCGGAGCGCGCGCCCGCCCAATGTCGGTCCATTGTGCGCGGCGTCCGCCATTCCCAGGGACAATATCGCCCGCGATCACACTGCCATTTTAAATCTCAATCTATCTCTCCCATCCTTACTCTTATTTACAATCTTTTAAAACAAATCACCTATACAACAGCTAAACAACCAAGTTTAGCTAATATTTATTTTCCATTATATCATTTATTTCCAATATTGTCCCTGGGAATCTGTCACACCACTAACACTATCTTTCTCGACTCGCACCAGTACAGAAGCCAAACCGTGCGTAAAATAAGATTCTAGACTAATTTATAAAAGAAAAACGCGAATGATGCGTTCATCAGTTTTTACATTGATTATTTTTTTTTGTGATTGACTAATTATTGTCGTTTGTTCCTATGATTTATTATAGTGAAAGATTGATTATATTTCCGTTAAAAATCTTGTTCAGGTTTTCTTGAAAATCAACACAGATTTTTTTCAAACTTTTAGCTTCCGTTTTTGGGATGTTCATCGTTAGCACAATAACTTAACGTTCCTCGCTCGAACGCCATTTTTGTCTCTTCTATTCCGTTGTCGCTAATAGAAGAGGCACAAATCGCTTTCGAATTATTCAAATGTGAAGATCACGCGCGTTGTTAGTCCATAGGTTAATATAACAGGTGTACTTATAACTAAGAAACAAATGTCGAAACCTAAGTCATTGTGTATAGAAAAAACTATTAAGTAATAGAATTTTAAGTATATTCTCCATTATTTTCGTAAGAGTACTGTGACAATATAGAGTCATTAGGCAACATAGGACACGATAATTTCAGGTTGTTTTTAACTTATTTATTTTAATAGGTACAGTTCTTGAAGTTGTGTTAATGAAGATTCTACCTTCGATAAATCGCAAATTCCATTACGAATTTGCATTTATTCGGACACGGAATCGTCTATGAAATAATTTATGTTAAATTACAGTTTTATTAAAACTACTGTAGATATAATTTGGTAAGTGATATACGTTATCTTATGTTGCCTTTTGGACCAGAACGTAGTTTAAAAACGGTAAAGGACAATTGTAAAATTTATATCGAGATATGAATAGACTGATGATCAATAATAATGTTCTTGTATTTAATTTTGTAAGATGACAAATTGTAAGTTTTAAATTATGCGGAAATTATCACAAAACCATTTGTAATTTATAACAATAGAATACTTTGTACTTAAATTTATTACAATGTACGTCTTTCATTTTTCTTTTTGAGAATTTTAATAGCACCAATGATTTAATATCTCAATGTACCAATAAAATGACAGTATTTTAATTAATTTATTGCCACATTATAATTGCATATTTTGGACTCCAATGTTTTTTATTAGATAAATCATTGATTTAATTATTTTTTGAACAATGTTTACAATTGACTGAAGATTGACTTCTGGATTTCTTGATTATTTTCGACGCAATTTTACTGGAAATCATGAATGTATTTGTATTTGAATCTGTGAGTATACTGAAAGTAATAAATTCAAATCATTCCACTAGCTTAATCTTTTTAAAATCTTATTTAATCTTGCTATTTTCTTAAAATTGTTTATTTTGCATGAGACCAGTGATTTAATATATAAGTAATTGTATTCATGTGTATAAGTACAATTATTATTCCTACTTATGTTGCTTTGGTATATTCACATTTTTATTTATTTTTCAAAAGAAAAATGAAAGTAATCGCCAATAGAAATTAAATTCCATATATTATAATAATATTGTGAAAAAGTCAAATTGTTTCATCTAGGTAGCTAGCCCATTTCTGGGTTATCCTAGCGGTGATAGGTATTTGCCAGAATGCTTGAAAAACGAATGTGTATGTGCAGTGAGGCCGCGAAAAATAAAATGTTAATAAACAATTGTTTACAAAAGATTACAAACGTATTTTACTGGTGTCCATCATATTCTTTCCCTTTTTACCATCCTTCCATAGATTATTCATTAATAGAGATAGAAAATCAGTCCAAAAATTGCGTAAATAGCTTACTATTTTCACACTAAAATAAAAGACACTCGTAATTCTCTATATGCGAGAGAAGTAACGACTTCAGAAGATGTCTTAATTTAAGCTAATATTTTTAACAAATGAGCAAGATTTTCAACGAATGAACTCTTAAACTTAGAATATTATTATGAGCTACTGACAGTTCTTTCTTCATTGAAATTCTTGTCAAATGCTTAAAAATATAACTATCATTTTTTCAAGTAATTACTTATATCGACTATAGATACGAGTGTAATAAAACATTACAATGTTATTGTGGTATAGTAGTGTGCGTCAGACTGGCAGCGCCACCCTTCTCGATTTTGAAATAAATTCTTAGTTGATCCATCTAGTCCTTTTAATATCAGGCCGACTAAATCGGAACAAAAAGCAAACTGCTACTTTGCTTTAACGTAGTTTCAGAGATAAAAAAAAGTTGGCGCTGCTGGGCTAGTAACAGTGGCGGCGCCATGCCTTGCCTGCCACCTTCTTAACAAGGGGTTCCCAGTTTTTGGTCATGGACCCCTAATTGACGATATATTTTTGGCGTAACCCTTTTTTAATAGCTAAATAATTTTGGTTAGGTATGAGTGTGTTAGCTACAGGCCCGGATCTATGGGAGGGCACTTGCCCCGGGGGCCAAAATCATCGTATTAATAGTAATTTTTTATTGAGTAACTACATATCGTAACAAATCAACTTGCTCTGCCTCCTTTTATGTCAAGAGTCAGTGCTCTCTAAGTATTATTACATTTTTCTAAACCAATACTAGTTTTTCACATTCGTGATAATCGAAATTGTTTAGACATTTAAAAATTTCAGCCGTAAATGTTTTAGGATTAGCCATTTGAATTTTGACAGCCACGATGAGTTTATTATAAAGGGGACCTTGGAAATCATAGTGGCGTTTGGCAAAAACACTCTTAACTAGCGGTAATATAATACATTGAATCATATAGGAACATCCACACTTGCGGAAAAATAATCTCGTTTACTAAACTACAGATTTTCGAGAAATCTCAGACGTGCATCAGCATTATCGGTGGAAAGATATTACGCGGTTCGTCTCCCGTCTACTCGGTGGCCACCGAAAATGAAGGTTTATAATGCTTATTCAAAATGATCTCCCTATGGGTCAAATTTCAGGCAAATTACCATGATAGACAATTGAAAATGAGGTTGTGGGAAGAAATATACATAGTATTGAATCAAACAAACTAATACATTAAAATTTCTGTAGTTAATTTTTAGAGTTCTGTATCAAAGAGTAAAACGGGTACCCTATACTAAGGCTTCGCTGTCTATCTGTAACCAGGCTGTATCTAATGAATCGTGAAAGTTGGACAGTTGAAATTTTTACAAATGCTAAAAACTAGAATAAAATAAATATTTAAGGGCAGTCCCCACACAACAAAAGTGATTTTTTTGCACCTTTCCGCTACGGAAGTCTCGACCGGGAGCTCCCTATTATACACTGTCGTATTTATATAAAACTGACAAAAATTCGCGCAGAATTAAAATCGCAATGCAGACAATGTGTTATTATGTCATTGCGAAATAAAAACCGCGCGAATAAAATTAAATTTAAAATCGCGATGCGGACTGTCCCTAAAACTCTGTGATGTAAAACGCCTAGCATAAATAAGAGAGCAAAATGCAAATTCCCTTTTATGTACGAAATTTGTTATGTAGGTGTAACTGTTCGTTCATAGGTATAAGAAAAAGATCCGAATGAAACCGTTTATGTTGACTATTTTGATTAAATTTAATGAAGTTTTATGCAAATAAATTGGATTGTATTGAAGAATATTTCCAAATATTGTAATGTTTTTAATGAAGCTGTCTGTAGAGGTAATTAATTTTATATCATCATCAATCATCAGCCCTTTTACTTCCCCACTGCAGGGGCTCAGGCTTTAACCTTCCTTTTGGATGGTTAAATTTTATATAAAAGTTGATAATTATTTTATAGACTGCAATACATGGAATCGTCAGTCTAAACTGATCAGATCAACGATATTATACGTATTTTATTATTCAAATTTGGTAATGTAAATATCTTTACCTCTGTTAGGAGATTGAAAGTGCTTTTAGTGAGCTTATTTATTAAAGAATAATTTAATATCATTATTTTGAGAATTTTTTAATTTTATATTGTATAATTATGTAAAAAAAACTTGATAAAGAAATCAAAAAATGAATAATAATTGGCAGACTAATAAATAAAAGATGATTTGGCAAGGTTATGGAAATTTATATTATACTAAAGGAGGTGCTATGCAAAGTAAATGTAAAAACAATTAATATATATCACCAAAGAAAGGAATAAATTACTTCACAAGTTTAGAGTTTTCAAAAATCCATTAGATCAAATATCGTTGCATATCTTGAACAAAAGATGTAAATCATTGGCTAGAACATGCTACAATGATTATATTAGTAAAACGGAGGATAGTATTGAAATCAATCCTAAATATTTTTCTCCTATCTTAAAAATAAACGCAGTAATTTGGTTCAGCTCCCTCAAAACATGATTTTATATGGCAAAAATGTATCCGATGGCCAAGACATTTGCAATTTGTTTGCGGCATATTTTTCGTCAACATTTGACAACTCACCCAATCAAAATACCACATTGATCGATACAGGCTGCAAGTGTGATTATTTAGGGAACCTCTTCATTACACATGATAGCGTCATAAAATACTTAAAAGGACTGGATATTCGTAAAGGAGCGGGTCCTGATGACATAACTCCATTTTTTATTTCCAGATGCGCTGCCTCCTTAAGCTATCCACTTTTTATGATTATGAACAGATCACTTATAACTGGGAAATTTCCAACAGTATGGAAGATAGCCAAAGTGATTCCAATTCATAAAAGTGGTAACAGAGAGGAAATAAAAAACTATAGACCGATTTCCATCTTATCAACCTTTGCTAAATCGTTTGAGGCACTTATCTATCCTTTCCTGAAGCGTCATACCGATCAGATTTTTGTTAATGAGCAACATGGGTTCATTAAATCCCGATCAACAAGCACTAACCTAGTAACCTATCATAATGAACTTGTAAATGCAGTTGATTCGGGTGTCCAGGTTGATGCAGTATACATGGACTTCGCCAAGGCATTTGACAGAGTGAACCATGAGGTGCTATTGCGAAAATTGGCCTCGATTGGTATATCTGGTACGCTTTTGGAATGGTTTGGGTCTTACTTGGTTGAAAGAATACAATATGTAGTGGTTAAAGGCTACAATTCTTGTAGGTATTTAACAGCATCAGGTGTACCCCAAGGTTCTATCTTGGGACCCTGGTTATTTAATGTATTCATAAATGACATAATAACATGCATCAAACACAGTAGTCCTTACCTTTTCGCTGATGACTTAAAGCTTTGCAAACCTGTTAAATGTCCAGCAGATTGCAATCTTATTCAGAAAGACATTGATGCTATTACTGATTGGTGTTCAGTCAACAAAATGACTCTAAATACTGATAAATGCCAAACGATTACTTTCTCGCGCAGTAATACCCCAATCAGATACCAATATTGCATTAACGGATCAGAGCTTCGAAAGGAATCTATTGTTAAGGACTTAGGTGTATTTTTCGATTCCAAGCTGACTTTTTTACCTCATATAGAACATATCATCAAGAAATCCTCTAAAATGCTTGGTTTCATCATTCGTAACAGTAGGTCATTCCGAAGGCCACATACAAAAAGGGTTGTTTTTTATGCTTATGTTCGTAGTAATATCGAGTATTGCAGCGTTGTCTGGTCACCTCAATATAATATACATCAACTTAGATTGGAACGGATACAGAAACGGTTTCTCGGGCACCTTTCCTTCTCGTGTGGACTACATAAGCGACTCCGCTCATACACCGATAGACTAGATTACTTTAAAATGGATAGCCTTTTGATCCGTAGACAGTTGCATGACCTGACGTTTCTTTATAAGGTACTAAGAAGCGAATTTGATTGTCCACCCTTGCTGCGGATTTTTAACATACGAGTTCCGCGTCGTGTGCCTCGGCGCGCACTTGGTCTGCTGCATCAGCCAACTACTCGAACCAACTTAAAATTATTCGCTGCCGCATGTAGACTGCCGAAAGCATTTAACGCTATTAGTAAAGGGTTGGATATCTTCAAAGATAGTCTGGCCAGTTTTAAGAAAGCAGCTTTACTGTTGCTGAAACCTTGATTGATTGATGCAAGTTGTGGGATATTTTTATTTTCTTTTTCTTTTTTTGTACTGTAATTTGTTGTTATGTTGAACTATAATTTATTTAGATTTTATTTAGTATAAGTATCAAGTGCTGCTTTTTCAGTGCATGTTGTGACACCTTAGAATGTTGTGCATTTAGTTATGTTATAGCGATTATATTCTAATAATTCATTTAATGTAACAACTATTGGATGTCCTAATAAATAAATAAATAAATCAAAGTACAATTTTAGCAGTGTCACTGAAAGACGCGCCAGTCAAGCAACGCCACAGACTCCTTTATTTCCGAAACTATTTGTTCCTATTTCGTAACGGTTTAGACTGGTATGGCTGCCAATTTGACAGACTCCTCGACATTTATTACTAATCTAAGCCGTAGACGCGAAAAGATCACAAAAATAAAAAACTGGCTTACTTATAATATATTTATTTGGTAATTAGTAACAAAAATTCTGTATTTACAAATACATGCCATTTATCCCCTATTTTTCAATATTTAAGGTAATGTAAATTAAACTCAATCATTCTTCGAAGATGAAGAAGTGTATAAAATCTACTTTGTAGTAGGAAAAATAGAAGTCGATCGTGTAACAAGCTGACTGAGACACGTATTTAAATAATATATAGGAATAAACAAAGTTTTTAAGTCAAGAATTTTACTAAAACGTGAAATAAATACGTAAATTATTATCTTTTTCAGCTCAATTCTAAGCTTATCAAAATGTACTTTTATCTTTGTTCATAACCTAGACGACAACACATTACTTGTGATGTGATAGGTGGATAAAAACAGTGCGTTTTAAAATAATTATCTTATATTACAATCAAGACTTCTATCCAACACCGATCGCCTACACTAAATTGCAATGAAAATGCTTATAAAAATCTAAAGAGATCAAGATATTGTTGTTAAACTTGGTAGGTATTTAAGCAAATGCGAAGTAGGCGACACGACGACACACAAACCGGACAACGAAGTCGAGAGCCGATAAAATCTAACACCTATGTCTAAAAGTCTTAAATTTAGTCTTAAGTCTATTGCGGCGAAAGTTTTAGTCCCCACTGCGAGGGGAGCGATCTGTACTGGCTCTGTCTTGGCCGTCACCGTTCTGACGCGGGGAACCGGATCGCGATCTTGACTGTGAGCGGTCTCGAGAGCCGGACCGGTCGCGTTCGTTGCCGCGATCGTGCGAGCGGGAACGTGAACGCGAGCGGGAGCGAGAGCGCGATTTGCTGGCGCGACGCTCTTCCCTCTCTTCACGCTTGGGAGACGCCTCCTTGCTGCGAGAACGCGATCTTTCCCTGAAACATTCAAAATATATTAGAACTTACACACACTCTGATACCTGGACAGAGTCGTGGTATGTCGTCGATTTGAATGTATTTTAAATCGAAATAGAAATACCAGAAATCTAAGGTTACTATCGTCTAACGAGGCCCACTGTTTTTGTCAGCTGGAGAGCTAAAAAGGCAACTAGAATACGTCTCGATAACAGTGGGACCGAATGATCTGACTTATAATTAGGTATTTTGTTATTTAAACCTATTTCAGCTGAGTTTTTACCACTACAGCGATCGAAAACAGTATTAGGGGAACATACCTTATGTAAAATTTGAATACATAAAATACTCTCGATACAGTGGTAGAGTCAAATTACTTTTATCTCATTCTAATATGTACACAAGTCAGGTTTAAAAATTGACAAAATTTCCCACTTGATTTTAAACCTTAATGAATTAAAACTAGAGTTTAAAATTAATTAATAAAAATTGAGATATTGTGTGCAGCCGTATTACTTAAGATGCAGTAGCATTTCTTTGATGTTACGAAAAATCAAACAAATAATCACGGTTACTTTTCAAACACCAGCATAATGGTAAGCCTAGATAGCTTCACCATATCTACAAGTTTCACCATAACTCAATATTATGAATAAAAAAGATTCATTAAGTATTTATTGTACTCTCGTGACATTTATAGGTCTATATCTTATCGATTTATAGGTCTCTATTGTGTGCATGCGCTGGTTCATATAACTCGTAGAAATTAAAGCAAAACCTGAGGGCTCATTATATTAGTTCGCAAACGAAAATTCGGAAAAGTCGTTCACATAATTTTGTTAAAATCATATGAAGATAGATATCCGTGAAGATTATCCATTTTCTTTCTGAACATCATAGTGGATAAGTTAATGAGCCAGCTCAATTAACATATAAATAGTCAACATTATCATATAATTTTAAATAAAGAAATCATATTAACAAAGAAAAACAACACAAGAGCTGAAAGTGTGAAATAAATAAAAGTTATATAGAAACTATTCTACAGAACTACTTACAAATCACTATAAATCAAGAAAATATAAATAGCACACGAAAATATATAAGAAAAATAAATAAATGCAAGCTACAAAGTACTAACTCAACAATCTTCATACAAGGCTCACCTTGCCGTTGCAGTCTCTCTGTGATGCAGGAAACATGGATCGAGTTAATATGTTATAATATGTGCTATCAATATTATTCACATCAATATTAATTTTGTCATGTAATTATGCCAAATATTATTCTAGGATATTGCTGCTGACAATAGTGATAAGTAATTGGATGCAAGGTTATGTATTTCAGGAAAACAAATAATCTAAATAATACATTTTAAAAAATCACCTAGTTTCTATTATAAAGCAATCGGGGTAAAAACATAATTAATTCATATCTTGTAATAGTGGCCGCCAGCGACTTCGTCCGCGTTTTCCATTTTTTCTTCGTTCCTTATAGTTGCAGCGTGATGTTATATAGCCTAAAGCCTACTCTATAAATGGTCTATTCAACACAAAGATTTTATCAATTCGAAACAGTAGTTCCTGAGATTAGCGTGTTCAAACAAACTTTTCAGCTTTATAATATTAGTATAGATTTAAAAATAATAAGCTATTCCTCATTTATTTTTGTGTCATTAAAAATAGAAATAATATTTATTACAACTACTGAAAATCAACAAACTCATTGATTGCCTATATATTAATTCGAGACATTTCAGTGCAGACACCATTAACGTTTAAACAAAGTTACAAGAGATTATGCAACATTTGAAAACTGGCAACTGCACCAAATAAAAAAAAAATATGTGCAAATTACATTACTTAGAACCATTACGCCTATTACATGATTAAAGAAATAATAAAACAAACGATCGCTTCGTAATAGAAACTGCGAGTAGTAACCAAAGACGAATCATAACATCACAACCAGAGCTCACAGTTGTCAGACGGCATCGAGATTGACGGCACACGGGGCGGTACTTACTTGGATTCTGCTTTCGGCGACCTGGACTTGGACCTGGACGCTGACCGGTGGCCGTTCCTCGGCGGGGACTTGGACGCGGACCGTCTGGAGACCGAACGACGTTCCGATCTACGGGTAGCGGGCGATCTCGAACGGGACTTGGAACGACTGCGCTCCCTAAGCGACGGCGACATCGCAGACCAAGAATACGTAATAATAATACAACTTCTGTTACGCCACTACCACTACCGTTACAATATATACACTTATATATATGTAAAATTATACTGATTAGTACTAATACAATATCCTTTGTGCACTGTGATGTCACGATAATTATTTAAAATATTAATACTTTTCAAATGAGAGATGATCATTAACCAAATCTCTTTTTTAAGCATTAATCACAATGAATAAAGAAATATTGTCATAATGTCAAAGTACATTAGATCATACATCAAATATAGTCTCATATTGTCTCGAAAACGCGCTTGATTATCTAGATATAGTTTCGGTAGTGAAAAGTAAGTCACGAAATTGCACAAAAACTAAAATTTACATCGTAATAAAAATAGAGATTCTGATTTTGAGTCTTAAACCGCAAGATTATCCTATTGTCTTAAAATTAAGTCGATTTTTTTTTGTCCGTGTGTCACTGACTTAAAACACGGCCCGCCATTATGTGACGTCACTGTGGCGACATTTTTTCAGCTGTCAGATTAGTCATAAAGATATGCCTCTTAATTATAAATCGAATTCTTAGATGGCGCTGTTATTAGCTCATTTATCTTTTTATTTCGAAATCGTTCGTTAACTGTTGTTTTCGCGGGTATAGAAAATGAGTTGTTTTTATTTTATTTTAAGGCAGTAAAACGTGTTTATTTTTCAGAAATATTTCTTTTATGGCTTTTTTAAATTAAAATAAAGTTACCCTATAATATGGGAGGTTTGTGTCAAAATGACGTAAACTTTGCGAAAAACAAGAATATGCATATAAAAATGACATAACCGTTATATGTTGTTTGTTGTCATAAAAGTCCGATGCTAATCTAGTGCACTTTAACTAATAGGCATAAGATATAAAATTCTATACATAAATACTAAATACAAAGAAAATCTTAAAGTACTATATCTAAGTACTTACATCTTCAAATTTTGCTCAGCGCAAGTAATAACACACCTAGCCAAATGAATACTATGTTAATTTTATATAGATTCATGCTAGACTATACAAGAAAATAATAGAATGCTGCAACGTTGTAATAATTGAGAAAGGGCAGGCATGCAAGCATATATTTTAGATTGTAGAAAAAGATCCCATCATTGCATTTCTGTATGTCGTGACAATATTTCTGATATTATTTATTGGATGTCACGAATATCAGAAACATAGTTTCTTCATATAAAATTGACAGAAGCAGGCTTTTCAGTTAAATCATAAATATCTATTTATAATATAAATTATAATTCTATAAAATCTTATAATATAGTTACACTCCTATCATTAAATAGTCAAACAATTTTTCTGAAAAGTCTGCTAATTAACATATAACCAGTGACAGATATTCAAACGAGTGCAAACATAATTATTAGAGGTTGTAATAATGCCTTTACACTGCGGCAAAAGTTGCACTCATTCGAAAAGCTTTTCTATCTTTACAAGGGCTATATTTCAAAGGACACTAATGACCGACGCAATCAATCGCACTCCCAGCCAAATTTATACACTTAATTTTATTCTATATAGGTTTTTTTTAAACGGTATCAACTTTTTTCAAAATGATATTGTCACCAAGACCGCTTTCATATTTTTAAGAAAATGAACACTGCATCATATATTTTACTTTCTAATTTACCCCTCCAAAAATTGGTTGCTCAGTGCCACACACAGTTTGATTGATTGCAATGCCATAATATCCTAATGAGATGTCGCCCATACAGAAATATACTCATACTCACTTGGAGCGAGACCTGGAGCGTGACTTGGCAGCTGGACTCTTACTCTTGGGGCGAGATTTGGATCGGGATCGGCTGCGTGATGAACGTCTTAAAAGAAACATTAATATTAGCGCTCAATATAATAAACTTTTAACTGTATTTCAAACTTATTAATGTCAGTAGTAAAGCTATCATCAACAGCTTACAGCCCCGAAAGATGGTAAATAAAATAATATCATCATTAATACATAACAACTCTTAATTCACAGTAATATTATAAATGCGAAAGAGACTTATGTTACACTTCAATGACAAACCACAAACAATCTAATTTGATATAAAAGATAATTTTAGGCCTGTGGAATAAAACTTTCCAAATTATAATAAGACACAGGATCCACACATAGTGTCGCGAATAAAGCTAGTTTAATCATATTAAAAACCAATAAATAGATCCCAATTTCATTATTTGTGTGACTAGCCGCGACTTTGCTCGCGTACATTATAACCCATGACAACCGATACGATGGAGGTTTCCATAAACGATTTTAATCGGTTCTTCTGTATCTTTCTTCTATATGACATTAGTAAAAATAACTGATATTGATTTGAAAGAAAAGTATTTAAAAATGTCCTCATATTAAATTCCAAACTCATAGCCAGAGACAAAATTCAACAATCAAATTTGACATTCATTATCAATGTCAAAAATTAACTGCATACTTTCAGATAAACAGCCAGATTTCTATCCCTCTTATAGGTAATATATGCGTAACATCAAATAATTTCTAAAATTTTCTGAAATGGAATGAACAATCGAATCAACATATTAATGTGGTAATTTAATTCTTGCCTTGAACTTTTACTACATTTTACTAAATTCACGCTATACGCAACCTTGGTCCTTATAGCCTTATAAACTCGAGTTTTCAAGTATATAATTACATAAACAAAATCTACACATTAAACTCACCCTTCATTTCTATGTTGCTTGTGGGCGTCAGCATAAGTAACTTCACCAGCTTGACGCATATAATCCTTCAAATCCTGCAAATTAATAATTTATATTAATGGTAGACTGATGCAAACCTGCACTAACTTTTCCAAAAGTCTTTAGTCAGATATAAAGTTATCATCAAAGCATTCAGCCCCGAAAGATGGTAAAAAAAATAATATCATCACTAGAGATTTTATTATAAGACTTTGGGAAAAATTGAATAATGGAAAGAAAGCCCTAAATGTCCTAGCGATGTCTGGATTTACTTGATATAAAGAAACCCGATGAAAAAAAATAAAAATAATATGTGCCAACGACATCATTTCGTAAATGGTTACCTGTCAGTGATCATTGTTTAAATGTGACATCCTATCAGCATTATTCTCATCTCAAGTCATCTTGACATCGTGTGGACTGTAAGTATGGTGGCAGCATCAGCCATGAGTTTCCATTTTTCCCACTCCTTAGAAAATGTTTCAATGTTGGTTGTATGATTGGACTCCTCATCCTCATCAGTGCGACTGATTCACAATATCCTGTTGCTTCGAGACTCGTCTCTGGATTTTGCCTTTTTCTCTCTCTATGGGACTCATTTTCCTGATTTCCGTCATTCATATAATGGTTTTTATCCAAAGACCACCTCTCATTCAGTGTCCTTCCTTCCGGCATCCAGGTTGTTCCTCAAGTCCGCATCGTCCGCCCACCGTTTCTCCACGAATAATGATACCGACTAGGAAATGCCATATACGAAAAGTTGTCGAGGCCGCAAAAAAAAAACAAACAAAAACTGAAATGATAACATGATAGTCCACAACGGTCACCATTCAAATGTTACATCGCGTAGGCGGTAGGGGTGCCCATTGCGAACGAACATACTGAACATAAAAACAAAATTAACGATGGCAAAATGAATATAAATGGAATATTGCACAAAACGAGAGCGGCTCCTGAAGTCTGTGCCCCCTGTCGACTTTACCTTGGCGGTAGCCGCCGGCGGTTGAAGGCGGGGCGTAGTCTCATCCCATCGGCGTTGACCAAACCCTCCTAACATCGGCTCAGACCACATCTCACACAGCGATACATCGAGGGCTCAGGGCACGAAACGCCACCTTCTGTTGTTTAAAGTTATCTATAAGCTCGTAAGTAATTCGCATTACAGATGTATAAACTATTTTAAATTATTTTTTAGAATAATGCATATTACGCTACACTAACTCTTGTCAAAGCTAAATTACAGAGTATTATAACATTTAACTGTTTAACAAACTTTTTGTATATTTTTTGTTTTTTTTTTTATTAGTAAAGCAGTATAAGTGATTAGCACTCTCGTCCAAAGTGGCTGGGTCATCCATCAGTCTTCAGGTTGTGGTTCCTCCTGCCATTCGAGCTTTGGTTGTCCCAATGTCTTTCCAAATGTCTCTTTATATGTCCAGCGTCTTTTGTCCATTTTTGAGTAAATATCGATTCTTCTTTCTTCTTTCATTAGTAAGTTTAGAGGTAGAGTGCCGTCTCAACATATGCCCTTGTACCGATTGCCGCATCCGATTGACTAGTACCGCCCATGCCTCGTGGTAGTGATAGTGGCCAGCCCTCATGTAACCGCCAAGCATGTCCAGGACCCTGGGTGATAGTTGGTGATGGAATGATGATGGACCCTTGTCAGATCAGCACCGGTTCTTACCTGCCAGCTAATGCGGCTAGATAGATTTTCGACGATAAGCCGATACTCCGTGCGCGTTGGCGGTCCGTATCTATAATTGTAGTCACTGTAGAAGATAAAAATATATGTTAGTGGGACTATATTTAAAAACAAGGCTACATGTTTACGGAATAAAATTTGCAAGTCATCATGAGATAATGTTGTATCCAAACGATAAACGCCACATTGTTTAGTTATCTAAAATGTTTTGTTTAAATCTTGAATGATTAAATTCAAGTTCACAGAATTCACACAATGTTTTTATCGTCAGCATAAGGTTTCATATCCAAATGACCTTATTATTTAGTTGAGTAAGTCTATAAAACTTCTATGAATATGACATGAACTAGCAGTTTACTTGGAACTTTGTCTATGCAAATTATACTATGTATCATGCAGTTTCCCATAGGTGAAAGAAATTTTAAACTAAATCCAGTCGTTTCGGAACCTTTTTGATGCAAACAAACAATCGAAAATTTCCACATTAAAATATTAATATAGAAAATTAACTTATTATTGAAAATAAGTAAATATTTATCACGACAAATGTTACACAATACTTGTACTCAAACGTCACATATCTAATATTTCGACATAATAAAGATAAATATATTTACTTACAGATAGCTGCAAAACATATTTTATGATAAATTTTACTTATTAAAATGGTAAATGAAATGGATATCACATGGAAATATATATAAAAAAAGCATTAGCATAACAGCTAGTGAAATGTAAACTACACTAGTAATAAAAATATTAGCATGAAATTTAAAATGTCAATGTTAAAGCAAGTACAACTAACACAAGACAAAATAAATTGCATGAAATCTAAGAATCACTCTAATATGCAAAAAACTATTTTTTTGTCAGATAATTTAGTTTTGTAATATTCAAGGTCAAATACCACTATTTCGGTTTACCTTTCTTAATTGTGTAATATGGAACTTTTTGATTGTGTAATATTTAATAAAATGCCGATTAATTGTTGGAATTTTAAGTATGCTCCATTGGTTCACTATTTACATGTGGAAATTATACTGGACGATAGAATTTCGAAACCGCTATACAGCGCGAATGTGGAAGGATGTAGAAGGTAAACACACACTTTTTACAATGAAATTGATCACATATCATAGGATTATAATGTTAGAAGTTATATTACTTGATGAGCATGTATGAAACAGCTATGTGAAGAAAATCCTGTGTATTTACCCCACAATAGAACTGTTTACAGAGGAAATGATTTGCACTTAACTAACAAGAGAACATTATTCAGGTAAAAGATATAGAAATAACTACGAAAAAGATCTATCCGCCACCCTCAATCTATAAAAAGGTACTCTAATTCCAAATATACCATATTTAATGTTATTTTCAGATCAAAATATAGTGTTAATCTTTAAATAAATAAAAAAATAGAGAAGGGTATGATTAAATTCATTCTCCACATCAAGTTATTGAGTTTATTGTCACAAACATCGGTTTTTAAGTAGAGCAAGTCATGTATAAAATATGAAAAAGAATCTTGGGTTAAAAACAAACTTATCGCAATCTATAACAAATGCAATTTTAGTACTTCAACAAGGGCAAATCAAACTTATTAGAAAACAATAAGACATTTCATATCATAACTCTCAGTTGGTTAGACTAATATTTAATTATGATCGCAAGATGTATATGATGTGAAAACCGTTAGAGGGTGAAGGACTCGCTCCACTCTAGACTCTAATCTAGACCCGATGTCAATAGGAACAAAACAGTTTTTTGCATAGACTAGAGCGCAATACAGACGGTTCTCGTCTCGGGGGCGGGCGGCGCGGCGGCGGCGGCTGATCGCGGCACCGCCAGCGGTCCGACCCGCGCGGCATGCCGCGCGCTCGCTCCACGGACACCCTACAACCAACACACGGCACTCACTCGTATCGTGACCGGCCGCGGTCGCGGTCGTAGTGGCGGTCGCGCCGGTAACGGTCTGCACTGCGGTCGATCCCTCGCGCCGGCTCCACCACGACCCTGTTGACGGTCCTGCGTTATAGCTTACACCCCGCACGCAACTGCACCGATGCTCGTCAATACCACATGGACTGACGGCTAGCCGATTGGTGTGACATGTTAACCCCCCCGGTCTAACAAGTCTTTGACACATTTAACAACGAATAACAATATGACCCAAACGAAAGTTATTATACACAACAAACATCCAGTACTTAAATGACATTAGGAATTAAACCAATCAGTTAGTCTATCGAGCAGTTAGTGATTAACGAGTAACCGATACAGTGACATTCTTTCTTCGCTAACATTACCAAAATCAACATTCATTAACCTCCACATAATATTTTCAATACATATTGAAGAAAAATAATGTAACCATTCGTTCAAATCACCACCCGTTCATTTATAAAATATCTATTTATATCAGTCATCAAAACAATTCTCACAAATATGTGGAGCCGGCTGATAAGAAAATGAATTATTAATTTCAAAATATAAAAAACTAAAAACAACTACAAAAAAACTAAGGATTGCATACTGATTTCTTATATTTTCACACACACTACTCATTAATTCAACTATTTTATTCAGGTGTAGTGTTTCTATTTGATTTTATGACATCTGACGCTTTTATAGCCACTATGTTCAATTATAAAGTAAGGTGTCTGAAGTGTCATGAAATCAAATATAAACACACTACACCAGTCTGAGAGGTTTTATTTAACTATGGATTACTTTAATCAAAATAATGACTACATTTTAAAATAAATGTTCTTACCTATCTCCTAGTAACTCTTTCCCGTTTAGCTCGTACACTGCATCATCAGCATCTCGATAGTCTTCAAACTCCTGTAGCAAAAGATTTTATTTAAAAAAGTAGAATTTAAATACTTTATGTTAACTTATTAATGAGGTACTTTAAAAAAACTGACTGAATAAAAAAAAAATCATCTCAAATTTCAATAACACCTAACACAAATATTAATCATGGTATTTAATTTTCTTGTTTTAGCAAATGTGTAAATTGGAATGCTTTAGTTTTTTCACTTACCACAAAACCGTAACCATTTTTGATGAGGATATCACGAATTCGGCCAAAACCTCTGAAGAACTTTTCTAGATCCCTATCTCGGACACCGAACGGCAGACCGCCAACATAAACTCGCGAACCCACCATTTTCTGCAAGAAATCATCAAATCATTTCGCAAGCGTTCGACGTAAAGGCTTAAATACCACAGGGTTCTCCATGGCAATTTACGGTTTCACAATTGTTTACAGACACTACACTTATGCTAAATTGAAACTTTCTATTAAAAAAAAGAAAAATAATAACCACGTTTTCTCCTGTTTTTATTATTGGTTTACGTAATCGTAAGATTTGTAATGCAATTTTATTTTTTACAATATGTACTCTGTCAATCTTTCGTTTATTATTCTTTCCACGGAGTTATGGCTGTGGATAAAACTGTGAAGATATTATTGATCAAACTGTAACATAGATTAATCACTAGCGATTGTACGAGAATTCACCATTACAAAAATATATACCACGCCGCAAGCCAACTCCATCAACAATATGGCGGTCGGCCACGATGATGACGGCACAAAACTACTAGAACGAAGCGGGATATATATATATATATGCAATCACAAATCACTTTATACGAACCTGTTAACAAATTAGTAATAATGATTACTTCAGCAATTCTGTAACACCACTTTTTTTATGCACAAAATTATCACTACTGATAAAACAAGCGGCACTGAAAGCACATGTGACTCTGTACGTTCCGGACCCGGAAATAAACGAAACTAACGATAATTTAAGTAGGAGGGATTGAATAGTGATGCTAGAGATGTTCAGTTGATAGTAACATGATCCGATTTAACTCGAGTAAAAGTTCACATAATCGAATTGAATTCGGGATAACTGGATGAAAATAAATGTTGCTAATCTTTCAGCTGTTCTTATATCTTCTTATATATTTCATCGTTTATAACTTTTGAAATAAAATAAATAAATTGTTATTTTGTCATCTTTGTACTGTGATCTTTTATTTATATTTCCTTATTTATTTCATCATGATCATCATCATCAGCCCTTTATTTCGTTCACACTGCAGGGGCTCAGGCCTTCCTTATGGATGGTTAAGGAGCCTGGGCCATGACCCTTCACGCTGGCCCAATGCGGATTGGCGGGTATTAACGACTACAAATTCAGCCGGCACCAACGGCTTAACGTGCCTTCCGAAGCACGGAGTAGCTCGAGATAATATTTTTTTGGTTACCTATCCCGTGACCGATCCATGCAAAAGTTGCTTAACGACAACAATCGCGTACCGCGGCGCATATCCACTACGCCACCGAGCTACTAATATTATTTATTTATGCTACTTATATTAGTTCTTTAACTATTTCAATAATAAGTTGAACTAGAAATAAAAGAAACAAGTTGTGATAAAGCTTGCCATACAGTTCCTATCAAACATTGTAATCTAAGATGTAAAATGATGGCATACATCTGCCATTTTGATTAAAAAAGAGCACTAAAAAGCATCGCACTAGATGGCGACTCTACCAAAAGTTGATTTTTGCAGGAAACAAATGGACCAAAGATAGTCATTTCCGTTCCTTTTAACTAACGTATTAAAAAAACTAAAATTTACAAAGTTCAAAAGTTTCATTCACTTTTAAACTATCGCGCTGCATTTCAAATACTTATAGTACCGGGTATTATACGCGTTTTTTAAATTGACCTGCGCCGACGTGTCGGCCGGGTTGCATCAGCCGTGGTCACGAAGAGGCTGAAACAGCAAGTTTACGCCTCTGATCCGTGGATGAATCTTCTTCCACCCTTAGATTTTGTATCAGAATACCCTCACTAACAACACTAACGGTGTCCCTATTCCGCACTTGAGTCGTATTCTGAAGATTAAGAAACACCTTAATAAGTTCAATCGGGAAGGCGGATATAAATTGTAACAAGCGTGGAATCTAGTATTTGCCAAAACTTACATATCAATTGAAATGCGAAAAAGCACAATTAGAATATGACTTGTGTATTGAGTTTAGAAAATTATTTTCCTTTTATACATGAAAGAAAACCCGGAAGAGAAATAGAGAAGATTGAATAATCACTACTGCCATACCGGTGATCCCCGAATTGAACATCGAATACCAGCAAAGATTCCTAGCAAGACAAAATAGAGTCCGAATCATCGTCATCGATGTCGGAGACTTTCCGATTGGGTGTTTGAATACCGCCATTTTGCCCTGAAAAATCCCATCATTTGGTTTCCACAAATTAAAGTACAGATGCGATGGCTAGAATCACGGATGACACTACAAAATTTTATTAAGCCATTTCTCATTTGGATCGTAAATATGCCGTAGAAGTGGAAGACATTTTAACTGAACCTCCGACATCAGGTAAGTACGATAAACTGATAAATGAATAAATAAAAAGTTTGTTTATGTCCAGCGAAAGGAAAGTTAAACAAACAGCTCCTCCAGTCTGAAGTAGCGATGGTCGATTATTACTTTGAAATAAATCGATTAAGTCGATTTTTCAACTTAATCGATAACAATTGATTTTATTCGATTGTTGTTAGATATTTTCTGCGTAATAAGCGATTATCAAGACAAAGACTCATACAGCCTACTGCCTACCTACTCCTTTTCTAAATTCGAGAAATACATGATGTGACGCATGAGCAGATAGCAGAACTTTAAAAAATATATTGATTTTGATACGAATTTGATATCTGGATATAAATATAAACAGCTGATATATCGCGGGAAAAAATATCGCTGATTTCTACGTTTTTAGAAAAAATCTATGATTTAATTGTCCACAAATAATGAAAAAATAGATAACCTTTAAAAAGAAAACAAAATACCTTGAAATTATGACCCTACATAATAAAAGAAAACAGGATATCAGACTATTTTACTTTGAACTTTGTGCTAATATTGGACTGCAAGTAGTAACTTTGACCTGCTGTTGACCGTACATATGATTTTTTTTATTAAAAATGAAAATATCTTTATTCGAGTAGGCTATTACAAGCACTTTTGAATCGTCCAAAAATTTTTTATTTCCCCTACCACTTGTTCAGGACGTCTTTCAGCTGACAAGAAGAACAAGCGAAAGAAACTTACCAGCTTTTTATCATAAGTAATGACATTTACATAAATCATGTCATTACCAAAATAATATGTATTATCACAATAATAAATACAACTTTCAAAGTCTGTAGGACATAGGTTGAACATATAATTAGTCTTTATAGAACAAAGCGAAGGCTATTAATTCCATGCATTGCGATCCTTAAAATAATCATCAACTTATAATAGCCTTTACTCATAAGTATATTCTTTATATGAATTTGAAATTTATTTATGGGTAGGTTTTAACTAGACCGTAAATTATATATAGTACGGACAGCTCTCTTTTGTAGAATAAAAATATCCTGAATGCTAGCCGCAGAAGCCCACAACAATATACCATACGTCATTACACTATGAAAATAACTAAAATATACTAATCTTGCCGTTTCAACATTTGTCAAGAGTCTAATTTTCTTAACAGCAAAAGCTGCAGAACTCAGTCTACTTGACAAGCTATCAATATGAGGATCCCATTGCAGTCGGGAATCTAGTGTAATACCAAGGAACTTTGTCGATTGTACTAACTCAACTTTTTCACTATTTACATTTATAAGTGTACTGACATGCCTCACATTAGTTAATGCAAACTTTATGCATTTCGTTTTATTTGAATTGAGCTTTATATTATTATTATCAAACCACTGTAGAACATTGTCGAGAGCATTATTTACATCGTCAAAACTCTCAACTTTAAACAGTAAAGAGGTGCCATCTGCAAATAATACTGTCTCGCACAGATTTTTCGTAGAGTGAGGAATATCATTAATATAAATTAGTAAAAGCAATGGTCCTAATACCGATTCCTGAGGTACTAGTAACTGGTGCCCCTGCAGATTTCGCTTCATTAATTACTACTTTTTGAATTCTAGCAGAAAGATATGATTTTATTAGATTAAGTGAATTTTTCGTCACACCACACCATATTAAATGTCGTCGCGTCGGGGGACAGTCTGACATATTGTTGTCTGTAATTATGTAGGGTCATAATTTCAAGGTTATATTTTCTTTTTAAAGGGTTTCACGTTAACCCTTTTTGCATTATTTGTGAAACATTAAGTCATATTTTTTAAAATCTATTTTTAGCTTTTTACTTTCGTTTTTTATTATATTGTTAATATGATAGAATCAATATGAAATCATAAATATATTTTCTGGGTATAATATTTATAAATCACATATCTTATAATAATCACATTTTAAATAGTTTTTTTAAGTGTTGTGTAGTGGTTTGGACACTAGGCGCCGAACTTGATTAGGCATGAACTATTATTTTGGTTGTGAACGCTGCGCGCCTGTTCGGTACCAGATTATGAAATATATTCTTAGGAAAATACTCAAATAAATTTGTAGATAATGAGAAAACTATGATACCGACATTTGTTACTTTTTTTATCTGTTAAATAAAAGACAATATAATGTTTATAACTTTATTTTCGTTCCAAAAGCCAACATACTACTATGCAATCAGTATTTATTATGCTCACCATTCATCACCACCATCTTGCAAGGAAATTAAATGCACATTCTTAGCATGTCTAAGATCTTTAATTTGTCTAGTAAAACTAAATTATAAAATTTAAAGAAATATGACACACTACAACGGCTATTTCTGCCTTGCATGAAATCATAATGTTTAATTTTTTTTTTCAAAGGCATATACACCCTCTTTCGATATTCTTTTTCTATGGTTTTAAAATAATTATTTAAAATATTAAATTAGTACATAAAGTACAACACATAAAATATACCATTTTCATCATGAATATTTTAAGCGCTAATCATTGAAAACAAACAACCATAGAGAAAGAATTGTATCATTTTATTTATTATACAAGAATGCGCCAAATCAAATGCCACAATCAAACAATAAGGCTAAGGTAGTTATTTAAAATAGTATAGCAAACTTATAAAAGAATATTACTATAAATCCTTTTAATAAAGCTTACATACTTAGAGAATTCACTCAAACAAAACAAGTATTGTAAACTGTTGCTCTTACATTATCTTTTCTTCCAGTTCAAATAAGGTTGAGTCCCTGATCTGACGAAAATAAAAGAAAGCCAGTTGCTTCTTGAAACTAAGATTGGTAAAATTAAAGTTGTAACAAATCTGACAGCTCATCGGGCGAGTTAATACCTAGCAGTGAGATAACGTAAGTTATCAGTAATCCGGCGAGTTGGTTGTGCAAGATTGAAAGACAATAAATTTTGTCAGTTTTGATATTTGCACGACATTTCTTCTGTCAGATAAGCAAAACCCTCAGAAAAGAATGTTTTGACCGGATCTGAATTAAAAGAGTGTTTGTTTCTTTTTGTAAAACAATAAAATTTATAGACACAAATAAAAAAGAAATCATTTTTCGTATCGTCAAGAGCAAATAAATTGGCTACCTACAAATAAAAAGAGATGAACTTAGAATTGACAGCTGAATAAGTACTTAGTCCTTTATATAATAAATAATAGGTAGATATAATAGTGAGTTACAAGATTTTTATTAAAAATGATCACCAAATATGTATATGTATTGATAAATAGTGTAATAGATATTGCAAAACTTTTAACTTGTAGGTAAGTGATTCCTTTGTCATCAAGACTCTTTATTTGCCTAAATATGCATGTATATTTATTACAGTTATATTCATAATGAAACTAATAGTTATGTTTTCACAATTTTCAATTAAAATATTCTTTCTGGGAGCGAACAATTAATAATTTTTCTTTCAGTAGTAGTGATTTATGGAACATTTTTCACATTGATTTTTTTACATGCTGGTCACAAATAAGAGTAATTTTTATTAAAAAAAAATATTTTAAATTATGGCATAATACTTTGATGTGTTTGCTGAACAAGTGACAGTTGTTACTTTTTTATTCTACATAAATGATTAAAAAGTTATAAAATCAATATAATCATTCGGATTTAAATAAATAAAATTATTGCATTATACATAAAGTACTCAAGTATATGTCAGAAAAAATATATATTACTCAAATATTTGTATCCATGATATAGATATGCAACCATAAATAAGATATAATACTTTAACGTAAATACAATTTGACAATTTTGGTTCAATAAATATTTGTATCAAATTAGAAGAACAAAATAATTGTGAACCAAATAACAACAATATTTCTTTTTCAATAAATTATATATAAATATTATATATCAATATTTATTAAAAAAATTATAAAGTGTGACTTATAAATCATGACCAATGGTCATTACAACCTGTTTTTATAATAATTACGCTTTTCGGCATGATAATACAACTTTTTAGATTCATAACTGAATGTGATATTTTTTCATAATAATATTCATAATTTTATTAAGGAAAAATATCTTATAAAAATGAAACTACTAAATTAGATGCAAGTTAGATCAGTCTTTAACAGTACTATGTAATAAAGGCCACATTTAACAGTACCATATAATGATTACTTGAGCCTCATAACAGACAGTCAAGTTATATAATTGTTTTAGATGAATAACTTGGGAATAAGCGTGTAATTGTTTTTAAAATTAATAAACAAGGTACTTTGAAATGTTTCTCTCATATTTAGCGCACTCTCACCTATTTAAGTAATCTATTCAATAATTGTACTAAAATAGGCATGCTTCTATTATACTAACAAACTTATGTTTGTCAAAATGTTAGTAAATTAATACTACATAGTATAAAAACGTAGGTACTACCTAGTTTGAACTACATCTGATACAGATGATTATTCTGGAACACTTTCATTTATTTGCACTTTTTGCTGTGAGCAATTGAGTTTTCTTTAAAAAGGAAGTATGTATTTTAATCAATACTTTAATGGCTATGTCATTATTTTATCGATTTTCTCTTCATTTTACTGCGTCATAATTATTCTTCCCTAAACGATTACTAATTGTATTAACATCAATGTCATTGTAGATTAATTATCTACACACTTATTATTACTTAATTGAACATACCAAGATTCTTGTATATTATGTTAGTATCAATATTCTCAACTTCTAACAAATTCCAAAACTAGTCAAATCAAATGTTAGTAAAAATAGTACTGATTATTGCTTAACGCAAACATCTATGTACTTAATAGTACGGTATACCGAATTGACTTCTTCATATGTCATCGTTCTATAAGCAACGGGATATAAAACGTTTAAATAACCCGTTTCGCATCGTTTCAAGTTAGAAACTCTTTGATAAACATGAAACGTAGATCACAACCATAGCATCGTCAGTGCTAATGTCATTTGCTCGTAAGCCTGCTTGAAATCTTATGGCAAGGTTGAGCAAAAATAGCTAGTCATGTAGCTAGGGATCACAATTGAAAACACCATAGTGTTTATTCAGACTGGGGGAGGTCCTCGTACGTAACGTAATTGGGGAGTTAAAGTCTGAGCCAGGGAATTCAAAGCGTCGCAGCAACGCGGTCGCTCGACTAACCAGGCTGCTAGAAGCAGCGCTACTAAACAGAGTTGTATAGGAAGCGAGGAACGTAGTACACGCCATATCCAACCACCGCGAGGGTTGTAATCAGGATCTCCTGATCCAGTTTTGTTTGCGATCACAGTGTTTAGAGTAAGATCTCTGCTGTAAAAAAGAAATAAGAGAATTAATTATAACATTTTTGTATTAAAACTAAATATGAAGTAATCCTATTTCTTGCAGAGTTTATATTGAAAATATAAAAAAAAAATAAACTGGGGATTGCTCTCAGTACTCAGTTAAGAAAATACAACTTACGATTCGTCATCTATCTTCAAGTCCGGAATACTTTGCTCTACTAGAGCTCGACAAGACTCTTGCAATATTCGTACTTCATTTTCTGTTTGCTCCATGCGCTGAAAAGAATGACAACACAATTAATATTTATTGTTATTTCATAGAAATTTATGAGTAAAATTCGTCATATATGAACTATTGGTAACATATATATCATAGTGAATGCAATATTGATCAAATAATATAGTTGTAATTACTTTAGCAATAGCCCTGTGTGCCGGTGAATTAGGAGCCAGAGCTGCTTGTAGCCGACGCGCCAGTTCTCTTAAAGCACTTAGCCTTCTAGCACGACCCCCTGCACCTTCACTGTCACCGTCTGATATACCCGAATCGGAAAGCGAGTCGCAAGTTGAACTTCCCTGCAAATAAATATCACATGTTTCAATAAATTGTACTAATGTTTTTATATTAGATATACTCGTATTTTATTGTACAATTATTGAATATAAGTTATCTGGTTAAATCATAATTAAGTTACCTTTTTCTTATCTACCAATGAAGCTGCAAGCTGCCTTATTTGAGCAGTAACTTCTGTATGATCTCCCACAATAGTTCCTTTATCTCGCAGTGCTTCTAGTGTAGCTAAGTCACCTCTTAAGGCTCCTTGCAAATCACGCAGGGCATTTTCCCAATCAGCCCAAGCACACACTGCCTTTTCTAGAGACAGCAATTCGCTAGATGTTCTGAAATCAGACGTTTAGTAAGTATAACAATAAAAAGAACTTTTTTATATATTCTTATTTGATAAATCACGAAAATATTTAAAAAAATAACTAAATTATTAAAATAAAAAAATAACTAAAGCCTATTATTTTGTATATCATGTATAAAATTAACTGCTGAAACTGGTATAATATCTGTGTCTAAATAGAAATTAATCTGCTTACCGTTGATGCGCATCATCCCATGCGGCGAGGAGAGAGGACAAGTCGGATGCCAAGCCAGTGTCGTCAGATTCCATCTCGCCTAGTGTACGACGGACCGACACGGTCAACTTCAATATCGACACCTTGCATTCCAGCAAACGGGATAAGCGATCCTATAAACAAACCAGATTTTTTTTAAATCTGTAGACTCATTTGTGACATTCATATTCAAATTTTTAGTGGTCCTTAATCTACATAATTTAAATGACACCCTTTTACTTGCACGATCATTGTTGTTGAATAATAATCGACCTTAAGACAAAATATGATAGATGTGAACTGTATAGCAAACCCTACCTTTAACTCCTCGATTCTCCTATTAAGTTGAGCCTTGGTATGTGGCTGAGGGGCACAATCGCCAGGCTCGCAAATTTCTTCGAGGGTGCCATGGAGTGCTGCGATTTCGCGACGTAAACGTCGGGCACCACCGCGCCTCGTTGCAGCCACCCGTAACGCTGACCATCTCGCTGATACAGCTGTAGACAAATATATAGCATTTTTAAATAAGGAAAAGACAATGTACACTACAATATAAGTATTAGAGACCTATTGGTCTTATGGGGTAGTTTCGGTAGTGAAAAATAAGTCACAAAATTGCACAAAAACTAAAATTTACATAACAAGCATTGATTCTGATTTTGAGTCTTAAAATCGCACGATTATCTTATTATTTTAAAGTCATGATTTATTGTCTGTGTGTCACGTGACTTGAAACACGATCCGTCTTTGTGTGACGTCACTGTGGCGACGGCTGTCGATTAGTCATACAGATATACTAAATAATTATAAATCAAATTCCAAAATGGCTTTGTTTATAACTTTTTATTTCGTAATCGGTCGTTAGATGGCATTGTTCTTGCTTTATTAACATCTTTCAAACAGAGTAGAATACCGTATTGATTACTTATGATGCCGGACATTAGACGCGATAGTTTAAAAGTGAATATTGTGTTATATTTTAAGAAGTTCACGGAAGAAGTTAATAACACTAACGCACTGAAATACAAATACGATAACAATCAAGGTCTCAACTCGCAACACAATAAGAAACAAATTGATCGATATTGTTAAGAATGTAGTTTATCAGACTCTAGACTTTATTGCGACACTCTTGGACAGACTTTTAAGTGAGCAAATCATTGTACAATAAAAGCTGACCTTTCGCTACCAAAAGTGAAAAGTGACAATGACAAGGTCCAATGGCTTCAAAGCCATTACCAGATAGGTGTTTGTTAATACGACAAAAGTGATGCAACCATTACAATAGTTCTAAATACGCACGCTGGCATTAGACCAACTTTAAGACTTATAACGGCACACATTAGCCTAGTAACCGGCTGACATGCAGGACTGACCTGGATGGATGCAGTTTCAAGTAAACAACACTATTTTTAACGGTATTGCCGACACTCATGTTATTTGATGAGTTCGTTTGATGATAGTATTTTTTTAACGGGTAGTCGATATTGAGATAGTGCATGGAAGAGAGAAAATAAAATAGATCTTGATAAACATTACTGATTATAGCTGTATACTCCCTAACTTGCTGTAAGTGTTACAGCAGGTGTATGCACATAATATGTACATTGATGCATATTATATGAAGCGATATGAATAACACAAGGAAGGATCGTTTTAATTTTTTTAAAGAAGGGTCACAGTTAACTGCTACTAAAAGTAGACGAATTATGTCACAGATTGACTTGAAAATATCAAACGGTGCTATGTTTAGATACGTTTGAAAATTATAATGGTGCTAGAGATCTATTTATTATAACAACCATTATGAATGTCTTAGAACAGTTTTAAATTAGGAAGTTGGCGGCGGCAGCAGCATGGTGAAATGTGAAAAAAGCGTCTTGTGTAATTTGTAACATGATGAAAGCCATTATAGATTTAAAAAAAAACTAAAATATCGCACACCTAGATCTAAACTGAGACAACTCAAAAATATGAGCGAGTTTTGACTTAGTACAATATTCAAATACTTGGTGATCATACGTATCTATCCAACATAACAGATTCAATAAAGGTTCGGGGATGAGCCGCTAGATAACTTTAGCTCTTTTTTTGTTGAATCAACAGTGGTCGCGCTATTGCCACGTAAACAAATGTATTGTCAGACCTCCAAATTAGTTTTTTGAGTTGTCTTAGTTTAGATCTAGGTGTGCGATATGTGAAATATAACATACTGATTTAATTTAATTGTTAACTTTGAAAAAACAGATTACATAGAGACGTTTTGTCACACATTTCGAACATTATTTGCATACACAACGCTACTTTATGTGGAGCAAAGATTTAGAAGTGTTAGTGTTATGAATAACTGTTAAAAAAAAATATTTTGTTTTCGTTAAGAATATTTCTTACGATGCTATACTATTAGAACAAATTTTCATGTTTATCGAAAGTTTAAATATTTGTAAAAATATTTATTTCGGCTGTTTAGGTGAACATTGATGAAAATACATTCTGCAGTAGCGAAGTAGTAACAAGTGCTTGAAAAATTCGTCAGGACTGACGAATTTAGATCCTGAGTAGCTCAGAATACCAGGGTCACAGTGATTTTTTAAGCATTTTTCGTTAAGATTATTATTCAGTATAGCATTGTGAATGCAAAATTTATCAAATATAATACAAATCTATCTGTTATTTTATCGGGGACCTCTTCTAAACGCACGAGGGATAAATTCTTTACACGTGTCATTTAAGCGTTTTACTCACTACTGTGAATTACGGTCGTATTCTGAATTGAGAAAAGCACCAAATCTCAACTGATTAACCTCAATAACTTCATTTTTTTACATTTCTTATGGCAAAAAGTCTTAGTTTTATCAAATTGCTATTAACTGAAGATTAAAAAATTATAAATAAGTAATGAAAATCTGTTTTACTGACTGTTTAAAGTGGCTTAAGCACGGTTTGAGACGTGTTCAACTTCAAATTCTCAATTCAGAAACCGGGTGTTAGAGTTCATGCTTGTGCTCAGCATGAAAGTGCTCCAACTTGTAACTAGTGTAAATTATAGATTATATTTTCTAAGACTTCGTGTTATCAAGCTAAGAGCTTTAGCGTAAACCAAATTAAAAGGTTACCTTTATTCCAATGATCTATTTTAATCTATGCAAAGCAAATAGTAGCCGATGAAATTGGCAAGATGGAAAGGAAATCAGTTAAAACATCTGCGAAGATGTCGAGCACATTAGAAGTTGTTTTATGCTGAAATGACGGAAATAGATTTCCGTTCAAATATTCAAACGGTTTGTTCATCAAAGAGGGGCATGCGAACATCAATAGTTTTATGTTATTATTCGCTGCGGTTGAGTGGATTAGTATGACATATATTGAGTGATCGAAGTTGTGTTTTTCATTATTATTTATAAAGATAACATTTCTTTTAAGTGCACAAATTTTAATATCGTGTTCGCTAAGATATTTTTATTATTTTTTCTCTCTTTTTTTACCAGCTAAGATCGTAAATTAGAGGTCGTTAACCATTTTTTGTCTAATTATTATAACTACAGTTTGTTTACTACTATAAAAACAAATGTGAAAATGTTAATGATTATCAAAATAAAAACCCGGTTATCGGTGATATTATATTTTAATATGAAATTAAAAATAAATTCCTATTAAAGATACTAAACTACAGGAAATAGTTTGTGCTCTGATAACAATTTTCCTCTTTTGTTTTTAAAATTTATATTTTGTTTCAATAACAGTTGTGAAACTAAGTAAACTGTTATTAAATCGCCGTTTTATCCGTTTTGAATATAGCAGCAGCTTAAAAAGAGGAAAGATTTTTATAGTTTGGTCATATGTTTATGTTTGCATTGAATACGCTTGGAAAAAACTACTGCTACAACTGGACTGATTTCTGAATTCTTTCACCTACGTTAATTATTTTATACGCAGGTGGAATAGACTATAATTTATGCGGGCAAAGTCGCGGGGAAACAGCTATTTTAATATGAAACTAATGGACATAATAGTTAAATTTTAACAGAAAATCTTACATCTCCTCAGAAGTTATAAGTGCATTATCTGTGATGGGTTATGTAAAGACAGAAATCGCATTCCAAATAACATTGGGAATCCTACGATCGTAATTCACCTCTAGAGGCAGTAAC